TGTTGACGTCGGCTATCGATCTCAATGTTGATTTCGGCTATCGATGTCAATGTTGACGTCGGCTTTCTTATTGACTTGTGTGTGTGTGGTCCCTCTCTTTGTAGTTTAGGGCTGTAAATTTTAACGATCAATTTTACATCAGCAAAGTTCGTAGTTGTTAGGGTTGCATTAATCAAGACATTTTATGACCGTTACCTTTAGTGATGACGATGATGATGATGATAACGTTGATGTCGCTACCTTTGACCTTGAAAGATGCAGATCTCTTTCCGATTCAAATCTAGGATCTGTCGACAGTCGGGGTAGCAACCATGTTGGTTCGAGGCACACTTTTTCGACCTCTCATAAGCTTACATATCCCGCCCGATTCGCAGGAATTTCTCTCTCATACCCTGGTCGGCCATCTGCCGGGGATTCTGTGCAGTCCTATTTATTGCTTCCCATAATCCTTGGATTGTGTCCATACTTGCTTTCGGCGGTTTTTGGGGGCGAAACCTTCTGGATGGAACTGTCCTTTCTTGCTCTTGTACTGTTCTGGCTGTACTTGAACTCTACGGTCCCTTGGAATCTTTACTCTATTTGTGTTTGCAGGAGAGAGGAAGAGCTTTCCACATTGGATGATGCTTTTAGCGAAGAAAACAAGGGGCCTGGGAAGAGGAGTAGATTCACCCTTTGGCAGGTATTGGAGTTCATGTCGATTGTGGGGTTGTTCGCCACGCCGTTTGTTGCTGCCTATGGGGTTCTGTACTTCCAGGCGTACTATTCGGAGCGGTTTGGCATCGGGTTGCTTTCCACATTCAACGTGCATCTGTTTGTGCTTGCAGGCCTGATAATTCCTCTGCGGTATTTCTTTGGCCTGGGGTACCCCACGCGCATAACGCGCGAAAGTGCCCCGGCCTTTGTGCCCCGCGACGATGCGGCTATGCTGCCTCTACCGCCAACATATCCATCTTCGCCGGCGAGAATGAAAAAACGGTCCCCATCCTCCTCATCGATTGATGATATTTTGAATAGACGGATGGCTAGCTTGGAGAAAGAAATCCGATCTTTACAGGTGAACATTTACTCTATGAGGCACAGCGTGCAAACAGATCCACGTCAGCTTCAAAACGAATGTAAATTTCCCTTGAACATGATTCCCCTTACATTATGGAACATAGCCTTGTATTGCGCTTCGTTCAGCTTCGGCTTGTTCCTATTGCCTTTTAGAATGACAAAGTCTGTTACCAATTTATTTTTAACTCAAATTAATAAACTTTTATTTGCAAAGTACTTGCAACGGCCGTGCTATAATGCACCGTCACCTCAACTAAATTGTTTAAATTTTGCATGGTTCGTTCGCTGGGGTCCCCGGAGAAACAGGCTAGTCTGAAGAATTTCTTTAAACCCGCGCCCACAGATAAGCTGGCAGACCATGCTGTGCCCGTACTTGGCGCCGAGGGACACCAAGCCGACATTCATGTGCAATTGTTTAAGAAAGCACCACTTGCCGACACTGGCCTTCACATTGACGATGCATCAATGTCGAGTGAAGATATCATTTTGTTTTCCCCAAAGGTACCGATGTGTTTTTACAGCACCAGTCAAAACGCAAAATGGTCATATCCGATGACACATTGGAGGATGAGAAAGAAAACGACAAAAAGGGAAAGGAAAATGCCGCAAATCATCCCGATGCTTGCTCGCATTTTGATACGCTGAAGTTTAAAAACACCTCGATGCTATCGATTGCATCCGTTTTTGACGAGACAAAATTCATGGCTGCGGCCGTTGACCCGCTTTATGGCGAGAACGACCCCGCTTTGTGCGATCGCTTCACGACACGCGATGGCGATCAAAATGACGATGCGGATGACGCGCAGCCGGAAAGATATTCGTTCCTAGTGCAAGTTTTGGATGAAAACAAACGTCCACCTTCAGATCCCAATTACGATTGTAGGACGTTATTTATCCCATCTTCGGCATATGCCAGATTTACGCCGTTTGAGAGGCAATATTGGGATATCAAGAAAAAGTTTTTCGATGCCGTTGTGTTTTTCAAGAAGGGCAAGTTTTATGAGCTGTATGAGAACGATGCCGACATTGCTGCGTCCCGCTTTGATTTGAAGGTGACCGATCGGGTTAACATGAAAATGGCCGGAGTGCCAGAGGCATCGCTGGAGCTGTGGATTCAAAAGTTCATCGATTGCGGCCACAAAGTGGCAGTGGTAAAGCAGCTTGAAAACCAAATTGGCAAGGAAATCCGCAAGAAATCCTCGGACCATGAAAAGCTGCCTAAAGGTGCTGAAGACTCGTCCATCATTAGGCGCGAAGTTGCCTATGTGCTTACCTCTGCAACGGTCACCGATCCTCAAATGATGAATTCCGATTTTTCGACTTTTGTGATGTCTTTAAACTACGAAAGCAGCAATGGAGCCATCGCCATGTTGAGTACGGTATTTATTGACGTTTCCACATCGTCCGTCTTTTACTGCAAGTTTGAGGACGATGCCAGAAGGTATTATTTAGAAACCCTATTACTCCAAATCAAGCCCAAGGAGATTTTATTGCAAAAAGATGCCGTCTCCCCCTGTTTGGCTTTGTTTATCCAGAAATTGCTTCCCTCCACGTCCTTGATTTATTTAAAACAAGAGGACGAATTTTATTCGACAGAAAGATGCATCAACGAGCTTGAAAAGGGCGGATATTTTAAAAGCATCGTAAAAGCCACCACGGAAGGCAAACACATTTTGTCGAGTAAGTTACACGTGCGGCTTTTAAACTCCTAGCATCGTATCCGGCATCGTTTGATGCGCTTATTGCCGACGCAATGCTGACCTCTGCTTTTGGCGCGATATTATATTATCTGAGATATCTGCACATTGACCAGACCATAATACCTTGCATAAAAGTGGCCTCGTATGATTTGTTCCCAAAATCCGCGTCTTCAAAGATCGGTCAAATCTCAACAATTTGCCATCCCATCCTTGGGCTAGATGGAAGTTCGCTGGTAAATCTGGAAATATTCCAAAACTCGGTGGATGGTTCAAGCTGTGGCACCCTTTTTGATGCGCTTGACAACTGCATGACCCCAATGGGCAGGAGAAAGTTGAGACATTGGCTTGCACATCCACTAACCTCCGTTTCGATGATTAAGGAGCGCCAGGACTCCATCTCGCTATTTTGTAAGCCGGGATCGTCTCTGGACAAGTTTATTTCCTCCTATTTAAAAGGACAGCCAGACATCGAGAGGCTGATCTCCAGAGCCCGATCCAAGCAATCAAGGCTGAAAGAGTATGTTTTGCTGCTAGACTCACTGGCGGTGTTAATATCGTTTCTGGGCAATTTGAAATGCAACGTTGAAAAGCTTTTAGTGCCCGTGGATGTTTGCCTGAAAAAGTCGTCAAAAATCTTTAAATTGGTGTTTGAAAACTCGCTTGACCTGGAGCACCTTGAATCTTTGTTGACGCATCTTAGAAATTCATTTGATAGGAAATCTGCCCTTGAGCAGGGCGAGCTTAAATTGAACCCGGGGAAGCATTCCGATCCTGCCTACATCAGCATCGAGAACAAGGTATCTGCTGTTGAAAAACGGCTGGACTCCTATGCTTCTCAAATGAAAAAAGAACTCAAGTGCGGTGAAATCCGATTTAAGGACATCGGCAATGCTATTTACCAACTTGAGGTCCCATCAAAGTACTGCAACAACTTGCCCAAGGATTTCCTATTGATGTCAAAGACCAAAACCGTCCAAAGGTATTGGACACCATTGATCAAAGAAAATGTAAAGGAGCTCGAGCAGGCTAGGGAGCTGCGATCGTCTTATTTATCAAATCTGCTTACTTTGTTTCTTGACCAATTTAATGAGAACCACCAATCTTGGCAAGCCATCACCGAGATCATCTCAGAAATTGATTGTCTCTATTCTCTTTTCAAGTTTAAAGAAAATAGGCTTCCAATTAGCTGTGCTCCCGAGTTGGTGGCATCGCCGACATCTTTTTTCCATGCCAATGATTTGGGAATGTACATCAGACAAGTCAGGTATCCATTGATCATTAACCCTTTTCAGCCTGGCAAACGATTTCATCACAAACGACATTTTTCTCGGCAGGCATTGTAGCGATTCAGGCGATACACACCCACAGGCTGTCATTTTAACGGGCCCAAACATGGGTGGAAAGTCTACCCTTTTACGTCAAGTAAGTGGGCATTTGGTAACGTATTGATAGATTTGCCTTTGTGTGATTTTGGCACAGCTGGGCAGCTTTGTTCCTGCCACGTCCTTGAAAATGTCCGTTTTTGATCGGATTTTTACCAGGATCGGTGCTCAAGACAACATTTTGGCTGGCAAGTCTACTTTTAAAGTTGAGCTTGAGGAGACATCGCGAATTTTAAATGAAGCCACTCCCCTATCACTTGTGATTTTAGACGAGCTTGGCCGCGGTACAAGTACCCTTGATGGCCATGCAGTAGCATACTCCGTCTTTCATGGTCTGATATCGCGAATCGGGTGTTTATCTCTGTTTTCGACCCATTATCGACTTTTGACTTCCGATTTTATTTCTTTTATTAAGAAGACCATACCTAAACCGTTGGGGCTGTGGCACATGAGCTGCATGATAGACGAGCATACCAGGGATGTGACATTTTTATATAAACTTTCCCATGGAGTATGTCCAAAGAGCTATGGGATGAATGTGGCCCGTCTTGCTGGAATTCCAGAATCGGTACACGCTCCTCCATCTTATTCTTTTAGATTATTGAGAGGTCACATCAGATTTCTGAACAGCATTGCATCGCTGTCGCAGAAGAGATAACAACTGCTGAGCGCGATTTTCCGGCATACCTTCCTTTTGATATAATCAATTCGATTGGGCACGATTTGAAGCTTACTTTATTAATAAATGCCTTTTACTCGTACTCTGGCACCAATTTCTATTTGTGGCCGTGGCGGTGGCCATTTAGAGGGTGAAGTCGGCGGGCTTTACATAGAGGACCCTGAACAGGAAAAATCATGCCTGCACCTTTGGCAATGTTTGACCGAGTATCGAGCTGATTAAGCTTTCAATCGGCAGCAAGGTTAGCACAGTCGACCATTTTCTGCATAGTCATCCAATCGGTAATTTTTATTGCCATTTTACTTTAAACCATTTGGGTTGACATTGACATTGATCCGAGTATCAGCTGCTATATTTGAAAGCGCGTCTTTGTGAGCGCGAATAGCCAGATTTCGTAACTCTGGAATGTTTCAAGGTGCTCCATTATCAATTTGTTATGCTTACAATGTTGCTTCGTTAGGATCCATGACGTTTAGCTGAGGTTTTTGCTAAACATTCATAGTATTTTGAAATTTAATAGAAGGGGTAATCTCGGCTAGAGTAGGGTTACCAGTTAGAGAGGTTAGAGAGGTTAGAAGAGTTAGAGGCAGAAGCTTGAGCTGGGGTAGAAGCAGGATCTTGAGCTGGGGTAGAAGCAGGAGCTTGGGCTTGGTTAGAAGGGTTATAAGCAGGAGCTTGGGCTTGGTTAGAAGGGTTATAAGCAGGAGCTTGGGCTTGGTTAGAAGGGTTATAAGCAGGAGCTTGGGCTTGGTTAGAAG